TAATGCGTTAAATTCGTATTAGCATTGGAATATGTGGCCATGCTTTTGTGTGACGCTTTGTCCTGCATTTCTACGTAAACGTAATAATCAAAAAGGATAAATCATATCCAAACATATTATAAAGCCGGACTTTTATATGTACTGTATTTAGTGAGCGAGATGAGATCCATTATTTAAGATTGAGACAATACTTTAGATTTCTCTCGGTGACTACGAAGGAAAGGCTTACGACGAAAAATAGACGGTCTCTTACAACTATTTCAAATAGAATCAATGGCATACTGCACGTATAAGTAATACATAGATAATAGCTATGTTTGTGTATGGTATACAAAGGCTTCATCAATTCGAGCAAAATCAAATATATGTCCTTTTAATATCTATTTTCGAAGATACATGTGCCTGTGTCGATTCCCTATTAATTACAATGTTTTTCAATAATGAACTATGACCGTATCCATGAACGCAATTCAAATTCGCTTGTATAGACATATTCTAAGCACATGTGTTAGAAAACATTCAAGCGACTTATATATAAAGTTGAACATACTTTCAAGATTTTGCCGGTGTCCGCTTATGGTTTATAGCAATTGCATTTTAAAACATCAAAGCCTCAAAACTTGTACACATGCCCACGATAGCTGCGAACATTGTCCTTGAAGTATATTTTTACATAGTATCGCCTTTTTTATAACATTTTAAGAATGATAACAGTAGCAATATTTGCAAAGATAATACCAACAATCCCAATCATAATGATGGTAATAACAAAAGTCAATTATGAAAATAAAGCCACAATTATTTTCTACGTTTCAAATGTGGCTAACCAGGCCGGAAATTGCAATAACGAACATTTAAAGGTTATTCACCTACTCTCAAAATAAGTCACATTCAAAATGACGTATGGTGTTCACGGATAGCGATTTCATAGCTTATACAAAATTTAATAAAACCTTAAGTAAGGCAACGACCAATACAACGACAGTTCCATGGTATGGCGACATTCAAATCAGTTTAAGGCAGCGGCCTAATCCTAACTATATTAAACGTCTATCTTTAAGTTCACGGCTAGGAATTATGACGTCATGTTTGAGAAACAATTAGGTACCGTTAGGAGATATATGCAGTCATACAGACGAGCGGCAGGCGGCATTGAGAATCATTCAAAGGTCCTTGCGACATCTGTGTATGACCTAACAATGCATTACCAGCAAACAAAGTATGTAAAGTTTTCTAGAAGCCGAACTCTGGCGGTCAAAGAAGCCGATACAATATTTCCTGAAAATGTCGCGGGGTGTTTGTGATCGTGTACAGCACGACTCTCCGATCTTTTCCCTCCATTACTCGTGCCATTGTGAAAACGAGTTGTCGCATGAGACAATGGGAGCAGCAATGAAGCAATTGGTTCACTTCAAACAGAGGCATGAAAGCAAGGAGGAAGAAATTTCCCAGCAAAAGGATTACATCAAGATATTCTGCAACAGAAGCAATTGACTGCGAAATATCCAACAGCTGTCTTGGATTAAAAGCATTCGTTCCAAAGAAGGCCTAATGTCTTCGTGAGCAGGGCTTAAGATAGAAACATGTTCATGCAATTAATGCGAAAGAGTAAAGGGTTAAGGGGAAGCGAGTAAGCTTTAATCCCTAGTTTCCTCATGGAATAATCAATTTTTTTGCTAAGCGAAACTATCAATACAAAGGGGAATGAATATCTAATCAATTTATTAAAATTTTCATTTAAATAACTTACGAGCATCAAATTGCTCAAATCTTATGAAAACTTCTTTGGTTAGACTTTGAGTGCATCCATATGTATTGCTGGGGTTCCATCCTCTCTTCCGCTTAGAACAGATGAATGTGAAAGCTTCTTTCTGACTATTACTTGATATAAATACGTATTTCTCACCAAATTAAATTTTATTTACTATTTTTATATAATTTGCCTTTTTTTTTCTTGTATTCTCCTCTTTTTTGTACCCACCACTTTAAGATGGCGGTATACTCATTTCGTTTTTTTTCATAATGTATGTAACACCCGAAGGAAAACTTCAGACACCTTATAAAGTATATACATTCTTCAGCGCGATATTCCGAGTCGATTTATTCATGTCTGTCCGTCTGTGTGGTGTATGTTGTTGGCACTCTTCTGGTGGCAAAAGTGAAGATATCGACTTCAAATTTGATGGAAACGTTGGAAGTTTCTGCAGGCATGTTGACGTTGAAAGTGGGCTAAGTTGGTCAGAGTAGAAATGCGAAATAGAGAATGAACTGAACGCAACTCCGTTTTTTTAACAAAAATTTTTGGATTCTCGCTCTTTATCGGTATGCCTGCACACAGTTATGAGTAATTAAATTTTTTTTTTTTTCATTTTTTGAGGTTTCTTGCTTATATATCAAAAAGCAAACAAGATAGAATGTTTTCCTCAAATAGAATGTTTTCCTCAGACGAAGATATATTGCCCTCCTAAAAATGGGTTAATTCTAAAATGAATGCGGTAGACACCTCGATTACTTCTTTCTTGATTACCCCAGCGATATGTGTGTCAAATAAAAGAACTTGGAGACTAGAATGCGAAAAGCATAGTGGTGGGTATGCGAGATTCGGTCCTCGCCGAACATAACTTTCTTACTTGTCATTATAATACGTTCTTAATTGAATAGAAGCAAATCGTAAAACTCATTTGTATGTAAACATCATTTATTTCTTCCTTTGTTAATTATGCGCACAAAGCAGGTGGCGCTCATATGTCAATTTAAGAGCTCGTCTGAACCTATACGTTCATAATATCAAGTCCGAGATTCTTTCGTATAACTGTCGCCAGGGCGAAGTCCTTAAATTTGCATAACCCACCCATGCAGGCTTTTACGTCCGTTGCGAGCAATGTAATTATTGTCAAATTTCCCCAATATACCTAAGGAATTTTTATGTTCATCCTTTTTTAAACATGGCCTGCAACGAAATGGACGAAAGAATGCTCGACTGCAATTATTTGAAAATTATATAAATTTAGAGCGGGTTATGTAAATTTGTTAATAAATTTTGAAATTTTATAAGTACAAAGTGCACAAAATATATAATTTGGATTATGTGGAATACATGATCGATATAGCGATTGTTTTGCTATTATAATCAAATAACAAAACAAACCAATGATGATAGTATCGAGAGATTCTATGCGGTTACTGTGACCCAAACGGGTACAATTTCCTCCGTATGTGTTCTGTGCTCGGCGTTATTCATTAACGCGTTTTTAATTTCGAGCTTTGTTTTCCAAATCTTAATAAACTTGTGTAACACATATTGTTAGCCTTTTATTGATATTGGAATATATCTCATTTTATATATACTATAAAATTATTTATATATTTATATGCATAATAACCTCAACATATTTACATAGCAACAATATTATCTCACATATGTAGCAAAAGAATTTATAAATTTACTCTTCAAACCCGTTCTCTCTCTCTTTAACGAATTCTTCTTTCTTTAAAATTTTTTTTAAATATATTTATTTATTTTCTTTATGTTTATAGAGTAAATATTTTTAAAGCTTTGTATGTTATTTTCTGCATTTTTCTTCATTACCAGTCAATGGAACAGAGTATAAATTTTTTTAAAAAAATCGAAAAAAAACCAGTAAATATATGAACGTGTTTAAAAATCAAAAAAAAAAAAAAATAAATAAATAAATAAATAAAAATGAAATACGTTAGAAAGAAAAAATGAGAAAAAGTATATTTTAAAGATTGAAAAAAGTATCAGTGAAATACAACAAAAACTTCCCACTGCGCTTGAAGTAATAATAGTGATCAATAAAATAATTTAATCATTTGTTTGTAGGTATACTTTCAATGAATGGTTTATGTTACGTTTCTATTTCCCTTCTTTTTATTTTAATTTTTTTTCTTTATCTATTTTGATTTTTTTTTTTTATTTTCTTAATTCAAAAAAGAGTTATTTGCGTGTTTTTTGTTTTAGTTTTAAAATTTTATGAATGTTTGTTTTCACAGTTTTCTGGTGGTTTGTGGTTAAAGCAAAAAACCGAATCAAATTGGGAACGCACCGAACTCGTCATAACTCAGAATAAGTGACATGCGTGGTTCTTCACAGGACCACACAGGATCGGGATTAAAAATTTTTCAAATTCGTTCTAAACTAAGTACGCATTCACAACAACATTTCTCTTTAAAAACAAATACTCAAATTTGGTCAAAAATCCTCTCTTTCACTCTCTCTTCTCTCTATTTCTCTGTCTCTCTCTCTCTCTCTCTCTCTCTCTCTCTCTCTCTCTCTCTCTCTGTCTCTCTCTCTGTCTATCTGCCAAACTGTGTTTCTTTACCCGCTTCCCTATTTCCACGTGATAAAAATAAATTTTTGCAATTACTACAAACTTTCAAAAGAAAAAAAAAAGAAAAAAATATAAAATATGAAAAAAAAATAATACAGCAAGTTTCTTACTGCTTTATTCGTACACCCACCACAACCAAAAAAGAAGAAAAAATAAACAAAAATAATTAATTGCAGTAACAACTAATGCGCTTTTATCTATTAATTTAAGTTTTACCTTCCTTTTTTATTATCATTTATTTTATAATAAAAATTTGATTTAAATTTTTGTGTTTTTTATTTTGTTTTCATTTAAAAATGCCTTAAAGAACACAAAATAATAATAAAGGCAACAAAGTATGCATAATTGATGCAAGAAAGATTATCATGTAATTGGTGAATAGAAAATGCTCCAAAATCTCATTGGATTCTTAAAAGCTACATTTCTTCTTCTTCTTTTTTTTTGTTTTTGCTTTTTTTTGTATACATTATCAGGTTTAAAATGTACATTTTAAAAAGCTTAAAGAAAAGAGAAGGAATTTAATATAATTTTCCGTTTCATATTTTTTTTCTCCTTTTATTTTTTTTTCTTTTTTACTTAAATACAATTTTATTGAAAATCTTTTGGAATGACGGGAATTAAAATTCAACAAAAAATCCAAAAAAAAAGGGTAATGCCGCCAACTCATCAGAGACGTCGATGGCTACGCAGCCTGGTGGCTCGGTGACATCAAGAGCGGCTTCGGAGACCCGTTCGGGACCGCCTGGTTCGAGCAGTGGTGTTGCTGGTGCTACAGGTAATAGCAGTGGTGGAAATACGAGTAGTACTCAGACTGGTGCAAAATTCCGTCATGGCCTATTGCAGCTTATGATACACACAATAGATCCGCTACATGATGGTGAGTTCATGATGTTTCCATAAAGTTGTGCACAAACACTCCACACGCACACTGTACATTCACAGTTCACTCACATTTACGACTAACGTAACGCAACAAGCATTTGCGCCTTCAAGTTTCTTTTTTTCTTTTTTTTTTTGTAGTTAACACCTATAGCACCCTTTTTGTTTTTTCTACCCATCTCGGGCAGTTTTACATACACTTCCTTAATTCAAAGCCAACTAGTTTTCCTAACAATCTGAATAGCTATCTTTTTTTTAAGACGATAGACTTAGTTAGGAATAGAGTTACAAGCTCGGGTCTGAAAATTACCTAATTTAGCAGCCGTGTTATATTTCTATTAAACATGAACAATAAAACTTGGAGGTAATAACTACCAGGTCGAGGCAAATTTAAGGATTAAGCAGAATTTTTTTTATTTATTACGATCACTACGACCTTCAAATTTGATTTGCACCAAGTTTTACATCAAATTCTATAGCAGGCTGTGAGTGCTTGACCATTTTCGTATTTTGATCTGTGACTGTCGGCTAAACATACCCGGGACAAGTTTGCATCTTCGTCATCTCTCTCTGCCGATTCCAGTTAAGAAGTGGTAACAAACAGCGACGAGGGCAGGAGATCAGGCAGGTGACCACCTAAGTGAGCTACCATTGTATAGTGAGCGACAAAGATACTATTGGCCCGTACTAGCAGCATGCACATTCGCCATACCTGGCGCCTGCGTACTAACAACGCTCCCCACACACATTTCGTCGACTACTGTCCTACGTGGGATCATCATGCGCTTTAGGTAACACCTTGCGAAGGCTGGTTGCTATTATATCGCTTCTTTTGGAATGCGCACATCTGCTGGAGAGCGCTGAGTCCATGCGTCCGTTCATACTGAACTTGCACACATGATGGTCGAGGCCACCACCTTGGCTATTGTTTTCCTTCAAACGACTGGTCGGCCCTTGCAAGTTCGACATAATAATTACTTGGGCCGTTTGGTTGCCTTCAGTTTTGTGAGCAATGTACCCGAGGTGATATCTACGTTGAGTCGATGATCTATCATGATCCCCCCTGGGGGATGAGTACATGATATGCCCCCGACTTTCATCTTTGTCTTATTTTTTGTTCACAATAGTAAACTTTATGCAAGAAATGTGTACTTTTTCAATGTCATAGAGGATGAGTAACTAGACTAACCCAATATTTGGGAAGGCTGTATTTCTTTTTAGGTTATAGATATATACTTACAACTCTCTTCTTCGCTGCTTTGTTTACCTTCCTGTGCTCATGTCTCTTTGAATGTCTATCCAAGTATTCGTAGAACTTATTATTATTATATTAATTAAATATATTATAAAATATCATTCTAATGTATTTAACATCCTCTTATTTTATCTCTCTCTCTCTCTCTCTCTCTCTCTCTCTCTCTCTCTCTCTCTTTGTCTCTATCCCCTTTTGCTTAATGGTCAAGAGTTTGTGTAAACATATGTGCGCTTCACATTTCTTCCCTTTCGCTTAACATGCAAATCTTACACACTAAAAAGACTCTCACCCTCTCTCTCTCTCTCTCTCTCTTCCTCTTACAAATTTAAGTAAACCATTTAAAGCATTGAACATTTTCAATCAAAAAACTATACACTTTATAAATATTCTATTACACTAACATTTATGTAAAATAAGATATACTTAACTATATACATGTAAACCCATACACATATTTTATATAAATACATACATAAAAAAAACAATAAATACTCCCTTGTAGTTTCAGTGTTTGTTCGTGCGTTTTTTTAGTGTTTTCATTGTTTTATGTTCCGCAAAAAAAAAAAAAAAGAGGAGAAAAAAAGATTACACGAAATTAGTTCCAACACTTACATTTATTATTTTGTACATAAAAAAAGAACTTTCGCCGAAGTTCTGTTAATAAAAAATGAATAAATATACAAATTACTTAAGAAGAGAAAATAAATGCTTCTAAAATATTTGTGTTTTGTATGTTAACAGTTTGGAGTTTCAATTTATTACTAATTAATAAAAAAAATATTTGGTGTTTACTTTAGGATAATTATTTAGCAGTCGTTTCCTTTTTCTACCTTGGAAATTGCTCCATAGCTTGGGTCGTAAAACAAAAAAAAAAAACGTTTGCGCTTAATTCGAGCTTAAGATCGTTTAGTGTTTGTCTAGCTTTCGTTGTTACATTCTTTTCTACTTCTTTCTGCTCTTCTTTCTCTCTTCTTTCTCTCACTATCGCTATCTTTTTCTCTCTATTTATTTACCGCTACATATTCAAATACATATCTAGATATATATAATATATAAACGAATAAAAAAAGCAATATTTGCTTTGCGTCGTCCCATACTATAAAAAAGTTTTTCTTCATTATCTTTTTCTTGGTTATTTTTTCTATCAAATACTTTTTAAAAAATTTGCCAATTACACTTAGCCGTAATAAAAATCTGTTAAAATCACAGAGGTTCGTCTTGGTTTTCGGCATTATTTCAAACTTTAACTTCAGCGTTTAATATGCCAAATAATTTTATTGATTTCGATTCTGTTTCTATATGTCCAGCTGAAACCTTGATTTCTTGATATGAGAATAAATCGTAACTTCAGCGAAATCACGTTGAAAACAAAGGGGTGTAATCACATCACGTAGCTGATGGTTAACTCACTTCTGCGTTTTCAAGTATTTTTGCTAAAGCGTTGAAGATTTTTCATACGTGATTACTCCACTTAATTGAGCTCTTTCCAGCTTCGCCAGATTAGTCCTCGATTTGGCAGCATTGGAAATTGATATCCTTCCCCATGGCAATGAATTTTAATAAATGCGCATTATATTCGTATTTCGCTTTTGTTAAAGCTTAATTGACTTGTTATACATAACAACGAATACAAATAACAAAATGTCAAAATTAATCACTTAATGGTTTTGAATGCAACTTAGAAGGCTGCGTTTTTCAAGTGAGATCATTTAATGAAACCTCGTTATGAACGCACTATAAAACACCTTGGCCGACCTAAAGCTTGATCTCCAGAGATGATCCCAAAATTTATGTGCAATGTGTCTCAAATACTCCGCTGTTTGGCGAATTTAAAAATCGGAAGGCCTGATTTGAATCCGAATGTCACCCTGACATTAATAAACACATTTTTAAGGGTTTCTAATGCCTGCGAACGGTGTCAAGTGCGTGTACGATAATGATCAATGGTCTATCTATAAATCTTCTTTAGGTAATGAAATTAAAAAAAGGGCTGTCCAGTCAGTTGTCAATGGTGTTGGCTCTTGGGACAGTGGCGGAAGTCATGGAGCCGTATGTCGATTTTCAGGTGCAACATAAAAATAATATGGATAAACATTAGATCGACAGACAAATGAGCAGACAAACTTAATTTCAATTCAGAAAACGATTCTGAATCGATAGGTATAACAAGGGACGGGTCTACCTTATATTCTTCTGATCGTTACAGACGATCGCGTGTAGTAGATTCCGTATGATAAGTAATTTAAGGTGTAATAACTCTCCACATGGTAACAAGAATTAATTAACACACCGTACATCTCAGGCGGTGTGCGGTGACAAAGCATCACATAAAACGGAAAATGGAAATATAAATTTCAATTTACGTATACGTTTACAAAGCGTTGCCAAATCGTACATAAACACAATTTGACATATACAAACTGCATCAAAATATAAGATAGGATATGTGTGGCATGGTTTGTTATAGATATGATGTATTGAGTTAAAGGATTTTGTTGTCACTTTCTAATGAATTATCGCTGCAGGTGGGTTTTAAAAAAGTTGATTAAAGGCGAGTGTAACTCTTGTGTTGTAATAATGTAAAATTATTTCAAATTGAAGTAAATGCGTGATCATACTTTTCTGCTCTGCAGCTTAGCTGCTTTTCCAATCTTCAAAGTCGGATTACTTTCATATTAACGAAATTTTAAGTGTTTAGATTTTAGTTTAGCTTGACTCTCTCTGAGCAATTTTAATCTACATCACTGGTCGTTCTAATCTGGCAAGACGGTCTGCTGCAAACCAGACCGCCGAATGCAATCCTTCGCTTATCTTCAATAAGTGGTCTTATCCCATAGTAGTTTCTCATATTCATTATGTTTGCCGTATTTTAGCCCACGTCGAAAAATTCCAAATTTTCCCCGTATAACCACTTTTTTAAATGCTCCGTTATATCAGAAGAGGTGTGGGGTGTTTTGTAAAAATGCTTACATTGCAATGTATCAAATTTCATCAATATATCTCAAATATTGCGACCTTTAGATTGAGCACAAAAATACCCGAACGGCAATTACCGAAGATGATGGGCAGACGTAAAGACATGACATAAGTCGATGGGAAAAATGATACCAAACGCGTGTAAACATAACATACCTTTATCATGAATTATGTAGGGCTAAAGAAGAGCCTTTTAGTTATTTGACCCACCTTTCGGACGCCCTCCTCTATAAGCACTCTCTACGGATTAATTTTTTATATTTGAAGAATGTTAGGCGAAATAATGCAAATTATTTAACGGCCAACCTGATGCGAATACGGCATTTGAACTTGTTTCCCATAATGACGATTTCCTTTTTTACACTTAATGCATTCGACCATACGAACTTAAATTCGAAAATGATCTCTAGGGTAACTTATAATATACGATAATAGAATGATTATCAAAAGAGAAAATGTTGTTGTATTATATCTTACGGGGTTGATACAAATATGCATACATAGAAATGAAAATGAGCAATATATATATATATATATATGTATACATATGTATTCACGTGAACAGAATCAAGAAAAAATTACATTAAAGGGGAAAGTTACTCTGCGTGGGAATACATACTAACCAACCCACTTGTTAAAGCAAAGTTTTCGTAGATGCTTGAAGAACGGAAACACAAACAAATAATGAGACATTACCATATTTAGCAAGAACGGCCAATAGATAAATATCCAGAGAAACTCACATTATTTTTTGCTTATTTGTTTTT